CTTTGGATATCTACTGCACATCCCAATATCCACTGAATGTCCAGTCCATGGTGGATATCTATTTTATATATATGATATGTAATTTATAGACATGCAAATGTCCATTAATAATAGTAATTATATAGCAAATTATTAAAAAATTACGCCATTGTGGCTAATAGTACCGTTCAGATATAAAATTAATTTTTTTAAGGTGTACTCAATATCTCATGGACATCCACTAAATATATCAAAGTCTAGGCGCGAACGCAAACCATCGTGGATATCCACTAGATGTTATTTGATTTTGCTTACTAAGTATAGATGGCGACACCACTTTCGCATCTACTCATGCTCGACCCGCCGTAATTGAGTTCGATCGAAATTTGTGTTCTAATCAGTCTCCATTAGAGACTGGAGTCGAGAATTTCCATTTATTGCTGAAGAGTCCTAATAAGGATGACTTTCTCCTTAGTGGGCAAAATCAAAGGCAGTGTGCTGAAAATATTTTTTATCTCTGCTATTTTTTTTTTCGACGTTATTCAATAATCATTGGTTACTTATGAACCTCTACTAAAGATAAAATATGTTGCTGAATATCCGAATATCTTCTATATCCTGGGATATAGACGGACATTTGGTTGGATATCCATATTGGATATATTGAATATCCACAAAATATATTCTGTGGATATCTCTGGGATTTCTTGTATTTTCTGGAAGATACCCATTGGATATTTTGCTGGATATCCATTAGGATATCTTCTATATTCTGGATATAGACGGACATTTGGATATCCATATTAGATCCACGGAATATTTCTGATATCCTGTGGATATATTGGATATCCACAGAAGATATTCTGTGGATATCTCTGGGATTTGGTTTGTTGTCTGGGTACACTTCTAATTTTAGAAGTTGTTACTAAAACCTCAATACATTTATATGCTGATGATACTCAGATTTAATACTCCTTTAGACCCACTGATATTTCAAGCTATTGAAACTAAATGGAGAAAAAATAAAGGTATTGTGTTTTGGGGGAGGAAGGAAGTACTCTCGGCTTTAAGTAGCATAGAAATTGTTATTGATGGATACAGTATTACACCATCGGGAGAGGCAAGAAACCTCGGCCCTACTTTTGACACTATTCTAAGATTTAGAAAACACGTTACAACTGTATTAAAATAGGATACGCTCATCTGAAAATAATTTACGAAAATCGACATTATCTAGATAAAATTGTAAAGAAAAATCTTTGTGAGGCGTTGGTATTATATCTAAACTTAATTTCTGTAATAGTGTATATGGTTCGAATATGGATAACCAGGATACACGAAAAATTTAAGTACTACAAAATTCTTGCGTCAGATTGATTTGTGGGATACGCCGCCGACAACCTATTTCCAATAAATTAAATCAATTATCCGGTTGAACATGTCTAATCACAGGCAGCATCACTCCTTGTGTCTATTTCATAAAATAATAATAAATAAATGACCATCATATTTGTTTAACAAAATAATATACAGTCATAACATACATAATCTAAATACAAGACATATAGGTTCAGACTGAATATACCCTTTCACAGATCCGAAACTTTCAAGCGTTTTTTCAGATATCAAATAGTCAATGCATACAATTCTTTACCAGATTCACTTAAAACTCTACCAATGAGCACATTTAAGTTCAAAGTTCGTAATTTACTATTTTCTAAAAAAATATTACGCACCCAGGTTCTTTGTGTTTATCGTTATTTGTAGTTAGCAAATGCAATTCAGGTTTTTTGAAATATATTTACTTTTATTTGCGTTTTATATTTTTTGTTTGTTTTGTTTTCAAGGTTAGGTTGAAAAACAGAGGGTGAGCTATGCTTATGTTTAGTATAACTCACTCACCTGACACCTCGCCTTTTTTTAGAATATTGTAAATATATTTTAATTTTGTTTTATGTTGTGAAAATAGAGACCTTATTATTATTACGTAAGCCAGACATCGATGAAAATGATTTATTGAATTGAAATATAAAAATGAAGAAAGAAAAATGACTTCGTTACAAATTGAGCAACTTTGTAATGAAGTAAGTTTACTTAAATAGGCTTATTTTGATCTAAGGAATTTGTCGTATGTTTTTGTAAATACTTTTTACAGACAACCTGAATAATAAAAAAAAAAATAAAAATTTCACATGAAAAAATAATGAAATCGAACTCCAAATTTTCCTGATAATTTTACAGTATCGAAACGTCTAAAAATGTTAACGTAAATTATACGTCAGCATTTAGATTTAGGACTATTTTCAGAAAATAAAAAAATAAACGTTGGACTCATAATTTACCTGCATAAACTTGTATAAAATAAAAACCTTGTACCAGAACCAAATGGATAAAATCGACCAATTTAGTTTTCTTCAAATATCTTTGCAACCGGACCTGATACCTTGAATTTTAAAGTATAAAAGTTGGTGTCATAATTTAGCAGACTGAATCTCCAGTAGTTTACGAAATCAAAATAATGTGTATGTAAATTGTCTTCAGCCTACGTATACTTTTTCTGTGATACTAAATGGATTTTTTTAACGACGAACAAGTACTAGACCAATTTTGTTTAGAAGAGGCGAATTGCCAAGCATTGGCGTTATTATAAAATGCGAAATTATTTATAAAAAAATACGGAAATGGCAGCAATTATTCGGAAGCGTCTCGGAAAAAAGTAAAATTGCGGTGCCCCTCCTAACTCGGTGTTGGATCATCAGAAATAAAATAAATCAAAGTTATCTCGTTAGATAATCGTTTTTCCCAGGTAACGCTGGGAGGGTTTTTCGAAATTTCAATTTTTCACTTTTTTAGGACATTTTGAAGTAAAAAACGCGATTCTTGCGAAAAAAAAAATAGACTTATTTGTTATTATAAAACAAAAAAATATTAAGAAATTTGAAAAAAACTCTCCAGCGTTACCTCGTAAATTATGCAAAGAAATAGTGTTCAAAATTTCAAAAGGATAGGTGCAGTAGTTTTGAAGTTATGAGGGACACCGACTTTAGAAACGTGAGTAGTGGTAAAAACGCTTTAAAGTTTTGAACACTAAAAATTTGGAATAAAACGTTCATAAGCGAGTTTTAACGGCTTATCTTACACTGAATCATCGATGCCAGGTTCATAAAGGATGTTGCTATCATTCATGATGTCCAAAACATCTTTTTGCTCCTGTCTACGACGAATCCTCATTCACGAACGCTTGATCCACTACTGATTCCCATGTCTTGCATGTAGATTAGTAAAGCAAAAGAACATGCCAGGCCAACGCTACACTAATTTATATACAGTTATATACAGTACAGGTATAAACACGTTTGTACTTGTTAAAAATTTTATAAAGAAAGGTACGAGGTAAGGTTAGGGATAATACAGAGAGCGAAATAGCTGCCAGGCAAGGTCGGCTCCGAGATGAATTTTCGGTGGGGGCCATTTTCTTTTTAAAATAGTTTTTTGAATAAAAGGCTTATAAATCGTAAGAATTTTCATCTCGGGGGTGGGGGGAAGCCCCCATAGCCCTCCCCCTGGAGCCGCCCTTGCTGCCAGGTAACAATAGCGCGCTGGGACCGGGCAGGTATTTTCTGATGCGCTGAGTCATGTATGAGGCGCAGTTACTCAAACCGCTGTATCTTCGTTAGTTTTGCTCCGATTCATCTCAAATTTTCAAACAATAATCTTAAAAGGTTCTCCACAGTTTATGTCCCCATTATGTCCCGTTTTTGCCCGATTATAGTGACGTTTTTTTTTTGTTCTTCAATGAATCAAACCAGACTACTGCAAAAAAAATAGAATTCATCTTCATGAACGTTTTTCGATTTTTTCATTTTTCGAAAATGTCCCGCTTTTTACTTTTCACAACATGGTTACTTTATATATATACATTAGCATGTCGGTGCCGCGAGCTGGCAAGATTTTACCCATCCAAAAACGCCTAACGTGCCTATAGAAGTTTTCACTTTAAAAATATTAGACTGTATTTAGTGCAACATAACCTAATTTATTATCAAAGCCAGATTTACACCATCTCATTTTTAAATTTAGCTTTAACTTTACATTTATTAACGATTTGTGTATTTGATCACACATTGTATTGAAGTGAAATTTAAAGGGTCAAATCAGTAAAATTATTGATTTCTTTGCCATTATTTTTGAAAAAATATTTTTTATGAGTGTAAAACGGGTTTAAATTTAGTGATAACAGCGCGCTAAAGCGCTTACGGTTGAACTACAAACAAGGAAACAAGTCTGGCAATTTATTCAAACGACCTCTTTTTTATTTTTCTATGGGACACCCTGTAAATGGAGTAGTCTAGCCTAATTCAACTCAACCATATCACAAATCCTAAAACTAATTTAACCTACCTTACACTGGTCACTGAATGACTATGTATGAATTAGATTTAATAAAGAAAGTGAATGAAAATGAATTACACATTTACATTTGCTTCGATACCAAGTAAATATGATTTTAAAAGTATTTTAAATGAGCTTCTACTGAAATGATTTTAAGTGTATATTTAGGCAATTGTATATTTTAGCAACATTATAGCCAATGATATGTTCAACGGCGATGTTATTTCCACGTTTTCGTACTGAATATTTGCAAGTAAACAAGAAGTGCTTACTTATGAATGAAAGTATTGGTCTAGTAGTTGATCGTCATTGATTTTTTTTAATCTGAAATTAGGAAGGTAAATAAAGACCGTATTTGTGTGACATTACGTTATATAATGCACAGTACTTACCAGAGCTCTTTAAAAATAACTATAGTTCATTTTTAACTTAATTTTATCTAACTGCACTAATAGACTAACGCAAATTGTATTGTGTCAATATTAAAAAAAAAAAAATATCAAGTGATTACACTACGTCCACTTATTTATCACCAATATTTTTGCCCTTAAAAATTGACTTTTATTCACAGGGTATGTATTCAATTGAACAAATCTGTAAACAATGTGCAATATTTTAATATTTGACTTATTAATTATAATTGTTTAATTTATTATTGTAATATATATTTTCAAAATATATTACAATTTTATTAATCCGTTTTATTTCAACCCTTCCATTTTGTATTATTTGGTTCTAAAATTATTAAAAATCAATTTGAAATAAAAAATAATTAAAAGGTTCCTTGTGAACGATTATAAAGAAAATACATGTATTTATTGAACAACAAATCTTACAAACTTACAGATTAAAATGTCAAAAATAAGGAAAATGCTGTGTGATGTTCATACCGACAACTTATGAGTTATTATATTTCAATATCACAGTTTTGTTAAATCATTATTTAAGTACATACTATTTATTAATCGTCTGTCAAATATTGTGATGTTACGTAATATTCTACATACATTTGTCTATCTACCGAATTAATGACAAGTTGTAAACCTAGTAAACCGGATTCTCCTGTAGATATAGCAACTTTATCCGCATAAGTCATAACCTTTAGGATATGTCTAATGTTGGAAAAACTATATACGGCAGATGTGGTTGACTGACATTGATACAAGGTTACTTCTTCAGAATTTTTAGATATGTTTACTTCAGATTCACCCTAAAATAAAGAAGAATAAAATACTATAAATAATAGTAACCTACAAAAAAATGTTTCTAAAGTAAACCGTGATCGACAAAGACAAATATAGAGACATGTGCGTGATAACTAGGGGTGACCAAAATAATCGATTAATAAACGATTAATCAATTATTTTTGATTAATCGATTATTTTGGATTAACCCATCTTTGACCGTTTATAAACGCAACACCTTAAATTATATTTTTTTAAAGTACCTATCTATATTATATATATTCTAATTATTTTCAATATATTAACAATACCAACGAACTAAAAAACGAAATTTACGTTGTTGGAGAAGCAATTTTTAAATTGGCCTAAATTTTTTTTAAACAAATTTAAAAAAAATTCTATTCGTTACTTAATAAAATGATAAAAATACATGTGGCACACAGGGACTGCCGCGGTAAAGCTATTGCATAGCATTTTTTACCAACTTATGCAATTATAATTATTTATTTTATTTATGCAGTATTTTTTTTTTTTTAATTAATTCAAGTTTTTTCTTTGATATTAATTAAAGTTACACTTTTTGAGCGTGGTGACCGATAAGAAAACAATTTTTTCTTTTATTGAATAAATGAGAAGTTAATATTGTTTAAAATATTTTATTATCTTACAATACATGTAGGTTATTCAGGAATTTTTATCATTGAAACTATAGGTTTATAGTAACTGAAATAAGAAACATAAGTATGAGACTTATCTGGAAAATACCGCGTCAATGGTGGTCCCATATTTTGTTGTGGATTCTTGTGGATCATTATTCATTTTCAAATTCAGTTTTTCCGAAATTTTGTCTAAAAGAGATAAAATCAGTTATGAGCAGTTAGCAGCTAGTCTACACGCATACATCTAGTCGCACGCACACAAACACCGTGCCGAAGTCTGCCGAACCGAAACGAAGTTAGACGATGCACGGCTTTCAACGCCGTACCGCTGTGCCGGTTGGAGTGGGGGGTGTTTGGTTTATTTTCGTTACGGAATTTCTTTTTCGATTTTATTTTATTGAATAAATGAGAAGTTAATATTGTTTAACGCCGCACCGGTCGGAGTATGGGGTGTTAGGTTTTTTTTTCGTTACGGACGTTACGGAATTTCTTGATTCGATCGCAGCGCTCAAAGCCCGCGATAAAAGCTATGCAATAGCTTAAAAATAAAGGCTTTCATACACATTTTCAATTTATAAGAACCATTATATATAGCTAATCAAGTTCAAAATTAAGTGTTGCGTGAACGCATAACCGGTCAAATAGTAGTTCAGTGCAAAAAAACTATTTTCCAAACTCACAATTTGGCTTTGGTAGAAACAAGTCTACTCAAAAACGTATTACAATCATAACAACTGACATACAAATTGGATTTTTCCAACAAATTTTTACCAGTGCTCTATTTTTAGATATTAAAGGAGCTTATGATAATGTCACTTTAGAAATACTGATTCAAAAAATGACATCATTGGGGATCTCTCACTTAATCTCCTTACATTTATAAACTATAAGACGAAAGTTATTGATTAGAATAAATAATGAATTTATAGGACCTAGAGAAACTTCATTTGGTCTTCCTCAAGGAAGCGTTTTAAGTCCACTTCTATACCTTATTTATACACAAGATTTGGAACGACATATATCTATTCCTACAAAAATTTTTCAATTGCAAGCACTCCAATTAATGTAATAGAATCGGAAACTACAGAACCTCCTCTCAATTTTAGAAGAAAATTTTTTAATAAATCGAAGGTCGAAAAATTCGGTTCTTCTCCTCCTCTTATCCAATTTATCTTCTCTGTGTTTAACAGGAAATAAGCTTATTCAAAAATTATCTTCTAATATTTCTAGGATTATTGCGGCACACGAGGATTATCAAGAATGTAATTTTTGTAAAAACAAAAACAAACAAAACTGTGTACTTGGACGTAAATGTAATCAAAATATTTTTCTTTTGAGGTATTACATGACTTTATTTTCCATTAGAAAATTTAAAGAGAGTAACGCCCTCTATTTTACGTCTCAAATAAAGTGCATCTCATAACATAACACAAAAATATCATAATATTTCTCTAATTTCACATCGTTTTTGTTTTATCTCTCTATCTTCTTGCATAAGTGTTTCTTATTGGCAAATTTGGGTACTAATGCTCAAATTACTTGAAAAATTCTTTTTGTTTTTGTCTTACAAATTTTACGGTTTTTTCATGTTTCGCCTTTTTCAAATTTGAATTTGATATTGTTTTATCACGAGAGAAACGAGACGAGACAAGACGAGAGAAACGAGACGAGACAAGACGAGGGAAAGACTCTCTCGAGCGAGATAAGCGCCTTCTCGTCGAGACGAGAGAACAGTTTTCTCTCTCCCTACGAGACGAGACGAGAGAGGCCACTCTCTCGTCTCGTCTTGTCTCGCGGCAACACTAATCCTAACAAAAATTATGAAATTACATTTAAACTTCGCAGTACAATCTCAACATGCAATGCTGTATTTACTGATAGTAAGAGTGCAGTAGAATACTTTGCAAAATGGAACGTTACAAGTTCTACCAACTATGTAGCCTCAGAAATTCTTAAGCTTAGCTAACAATATTTGGAACAAAATAAAGAAATGTTGTTGGTGTGGATAAAATCTCATGTAGCTATTACTAACAATGAGAACGTAGATTTCTTAGCAAAAAAGGCTACTGTTTCGGGAACTAATAAAAATATTAAAACTCCAAAATCAGATTTGATTGCTAAATCTAAATTATCAATGTTTGAAACTTGGCAAGATGCATATTCAAAAAAAGAAAAAGGAAAGAAATACAAAAACATTCAACCTAATACTCCCAACTGTTAGTACCAAACGCATAATTGCAATGATATTGGCATATCATAAACATTATCGCAATATAAGAAAACCACTGAAATCACGAAAATCGCCATTTATTCTACAAAAAGTGGAAGATTTTAAGATGGAATCTAAGAAGCTATTTGACATATGTTCGTGTAAATGCAGTAGTTTTAAATGTTGTAAGTGTGAAAGAAATTACAAAGTGCCCTTGTTGGAACAAAAATTTTTGACAGACCAAAGGAATGACAGAAAAATGCAAGTAGTAGGGGTAGATAAGGTAATTACTGAAAAGAACCTAAAAAAGGAAGACAGAATTCAACGTTCATTGCCTTCGACAAGCAGCCAAACGTCTGAAATGGTGGCTACTAAAAATACAAAGAACGGAATAAAAGGCTCCTTAAACTTTCTATGCCTTCACAAAGTAGCCAGAAATCTGATTCCAGCTCAGGCTCACCTGTTGAAACTAGTCCTAAAAGTCCGTCCAGCGGCGAAGACTTTGCTAAAGATCAAGACTTTAAGTGGTCATATTCTCTAGAAAAACCACAACAGCAAATTACGTCCACAAAAACATCCACTCAACTCAGAATTGCATTGCCAAATTAAGCCCAAATTGCCGATATGACTGGTGCATCAAACCGCACAGTAGCTAAAATTGCAACAGCCACCCTTGAAGATTTTGGACTAGTTTCATCCGATGATCCAGCTAATGTAGTGGATAAAAATAAGGTACGTCGAGCATTAAAAAGAAAGAGAAAACAGGCACAAGAAAAAGCTTCCAAGGAAAGATGTTGAGGCGATATACTTTGACGGAAGAAAAGATCAGACAATGAAGCAAATCGAAGGCCGCCGTATTGTTAAACAAGAGGAACATGTTGCATTAATAGAAGAGCCTGGAAGCAAATATTTTGGTCATTTAGAAATAAATCCGCCAGTTAATGCTGCAAACATAGCCAAAAACATTTTATCCTTTATGAAAGAAAACTTCGTCAACGCAGAAAAACTTAAGGCAATAGGATGTGATGGTACGAACGTCAACACGGGTTGGAAAGCTGGTGCAATCAGAACAATTGAAGTTCAAATTGGAAAGCCCCTTCAATGGATAATCTGTTTGTTGCATGCTAACGAACTACCCTTACGCCACGTACTTCAACAATTAGATGGTCAAACAAAAGGTCCAAACTCTTTTTCGGGACCAGTTGGTTCCTTACTGACAACATGCGAAATCAAGCCTATTCAAAAGTTTCAGTCAATTTATATCAATTTACCTAAAGTTGACGACAAAGTTGAGTACAGACCAGCGATATCTCTACCAAATTTGTTGTGCTATTAAGGAAGGTTTCTGTTCCGAAGCTTTGTCTAAAAGAGATCCGGGAAAAATGAATCACGCGCGTTGGCTGACCACAGCTAACCGAATATTGCGCTTGTATGTGGCTACTTGCAATACTTCCCAACTCGACATACAACCATCATTTTTTCAAGCTGAGAGCTGTATTGTAAGTGGGGCTAAATATTTAAATGTCCAGGGGCGCGGTTAAATATTAATATATTTAAACAAAATTTTTTGTGTTTTGTAAGAAAGCTATAAGCTATCAGTTTTTCACTATGCCAGGTCTAAAAAAAAATTAAAAAAAATAAATAAATTTTCACCCCCCCGGGGCGCGGCTGAAAATTTTTTTAAAAATTAAAAAAAAAAAATAAGTTTTAATGGTTAGTCATTTAGCAGTAAATTTTCACTATGCCAAACGAGATTTCAAAAAAAAAAAAAATATATATTTACACAACATAATAACTAAATAATTGTTAAATAATAATTAAACATTGTAACCACTTAAAATTTTATCATTAATAGCTACAACTAAGTGCTTTTCTATATTTTCAGTCTTAAAACTTTGTCGTCTATCACTTAAAATTAATTTGTACATTGAAAATGAACGCTCTACTTCGACAGATGTAATTGGAGCATATTTAAGAGCGGATAATAAATCTGGCTGAATTTGTAGTTCTTCGGAAAATGTCCCATTCAAAGTTTTGGCAACATTAGACAAAAACGAGAAACCTTCATTCTTGTCAAAATCATCATTTTTACTTTCCTATCTGTATACAGATATAAGGAAAGTATAGGAATCATGATTTTTTTCGACCTCGAGTTTTC